CCCTTCCTTTAAGGATGGTGGGGGGCGGGGGGAGGGCAGTGGCAGATTGCAGGATGGTGTCTGCAGTGCCCGAGAGCCCCCCACCCCATCACCGTCTCACCAAGGAGAACCGGGTCTGCTCCGTGTGCCTCTTACTTCAACAACCAAACAACAGCGATAGGCATGGAACCAGAGTGTCCACACCGGTGACCCGGGGGGACCACCTGTGCCTCACTCCAGTCTGCTTACCCTCCCGCCTCCCCCTCCCCACTAGCTGGTAGAGAAACCAAAGCTCTTAGAAGCCAGGAAACCTGCCCAAGGTGATGAACCAAGTCAGGGAAGGTGCCCTGGCCCAGCCTCCCACCCAAGGGCCCGCCATTAGACCATGCAGACAGCCCCCAGTGCCCTTCTTGGAGAGCTTGACCCTCGGCACCTTGTCACTGGAGCTGGAGAGAAGCTATGACTCCCTCCCCTTTCCCTCCAAACTCAAAGAAGCAGTGCAGCCCTGTCAGGGGAGGCTCCCACCTCTCAATGGCTCCCAGTCAGACACCCAGCCCCGTGCTCCTGGACTGGTAACGAGGCCACCACTGCCCAGTGGGGCCCACGAGCTGTGAGACTGTTGATGGCCGTGTCTCTTGCTTAATCACCCTTCCGTTCCTCAGCGGGCTGATCTCCTGTGTTCATCTGATGGGCTTCCTGTTGAAGCGACCACTGGTGAGCCTTTCACAATCTGGCCTGGCACCCTCAGGGATCCTCACCCCAGAGTCTTGGAACCGGAGAATGCTGGGGCTGGGAGAAAGGCCCACTAAGCAGAGGCTCTAAAGGGTCAGGGGGGCTATTCAAGCCCTTATGGCAAAAGGAGACTTGGGCACAAGTCTCCAGTTGCCAGGGGGAGGCCACACCCCAGCCAGAGGGTGGAGGGCACAGCTAATGTCGGCTGTATGGAATGGCCTAGGGGAAATGCACACCCTCCCTTACTGCAAGTCCTTCCTCCCCAACTGGCAGCCAATCAGGGTCTCAGGCAAGAATGCCAGCATGTACAGGTCGACCAGAGAACTGAACCCACAATCTTCCACATGCACCCAGCATCGTTTGAGCAGCACGTTTCTACTGTGTCACCAAGCTGGCCGTCAGACGGTGTCTCCTAAGGAGCCTTATATCTATATCAGCTTTTAGGGAACCAGAATATATTGTAGAGCTACAACCATCAGGACAGTGTGGCAGACCAACTCCAAAGGCTAGTGGTTAAGGGAGCCACATCTCACATGGCCGCTTCAAATCCTGGCCCCAGTGGCCTGAAAAACACACCAGGTACATGTGTGTGAGTGCCCCAAATCCTGACAGGATGGAGAACTGGAGAAGGGAATGAAACCTGATTACACCCCACTGGGATATGTTCTCCCCCATACCCTTGTCTCTGGCAAGTACAGACACCTAGTGACAATTAAAAAAAAAAAAAAGAAAGAAAAATAGAACAGAACAGAGCATGGTGGCACTGGGTGGACCAGTGGAACAGAATGAAGACTAGACTAGATAAGAATGGCCACAGCCTAGTGGTTAAGACAGCCAAATCCCACATAGTCAACTGTGTGGTTCAAGTCCCAGACCTGGTAGTATAAGGCAAAAGTGCATGAGTGCTCAAAATAGCAAAAAGGAGAGATATGGAGGAGAAGGGATTGGGATGGGATTACCTCCATAAGGGGGGGGTCTTTCTCCTCTGTGTGTGTGTGTGTGTGTGTGTGAGAGAGAGAGAGTCAGGCAAGTGCATACACCTTCTAGGGAAAAAAAAAAGAATAAACGGGAATAGACTCAAATATGTTTGGGAATTTAGTGTATGATAAAGGTGTCATTTCAAATCAGTGGGAAAAGGGTAATTTATTCAATAAACTGTTGAAAAAATGAGCCAGGTATCTGAAAAAATAACACTGGCACTCTAATTTTAAAATCATGCCAGATGGATCAGAGTTGAAGCATTTGGGGCCGCCCAGTGACATGGTGGGTAAGGCAGCTAGCTCCCACACAACTGACTGTGTGATTTGAGTCCCAGACCCAGTGGTTTGAAAAATATGCTGGGCACCTGTGTGCTCAAAATCCCTGGCAAAAAAATGGAGAAGCCGGGATAAAGCATAGCTAGCTTCCCGTTGGGGAGTGGTTTCTCACTTTCCCTCTCTCTGTCTCTAGCAAGGACATGGTGCCTGATAGCATATTAAAAATAATAATAAAAGAAAGAATTTTAAGCAGTTGGTGTAATGGCTGTGTCGCTAGATTCCCATGTAGTCGACCGCGGTTCGAGTCCCAGACCCGGTGGCTTAAACTCACACCAGGCGCGTGTGCGTGTGTGCCCAAGATCCCGAGAGGAGAATGGAGGAGAAGGGATCGCGGCGTGGCCATCCCCCCAGGGGGTGATTTCTCACTTTCTGTCTCTCTGTCTCTATCTTTCTGACGAGCGCACGTACCCTATAGCAAAAACCTCACAAAAAAAAAAAAGAGCTTTAAAGATTTCAAAAATCATAAAATTATATGTTGTTTGGGATTTCCTTCAAAATAATTAAGGGCTGGTGAGTACATGTGTCTTATAGAAAATTAATAATAATAATAAGTAAATAATTTTTAAAAACTTAACTAAGGAAAAAAACTCACCATGGATGAGTCAAAAGGTGAACAAACTGAACAATATTCACATGTCACAGAAAATGAGCTCATTTCCTCTCCCCCTAAAGAGCCAGAGATCAACAAAAGACCAGAAACGCACGAGAGCAATCGGCACCGCACATGAATAGACAATTCATGGAAAGAGAAGTATCAATGGCGTTTAGACGTACGAAAATGTTTGTTTCCATTCATAATAAGAGAGACAAACAATGAAACTCCAATGAGACATTAACAATGAGATATTATTTTCAACTTCTCAACTGGTAGAACTAGGAAAAAAACTATATGCTGTGTTGTAAAGATGGAGTAGGAAAACAGTTTCATATATTGTTGGTAGGAATGTAAACTGGTACACCTTTTATGTAAAAAAAAAATAAGTGATATCTACCAACATTTAAAATGCAAAAATGAGGCCATCAAATGGTGTAGCGGTTACATCGCTGGACTCCCACATGGCCAACCACAGTTCAAGTCCCGGACCCGGCAGCTTACAACTCATGTGGGGCTCATGTGCGTGCACGTCCAAAATTCCAGGAGGAGAACAAAGAAGTGGCCATTTCCTTTTGGGGGGTGATTTCTCACTTTCCCTCTCACTGCCTGCCTCTCTCTCTCCCTGGCAAGGATATGCTTCCTAAGGCAAAAACCTCTAAAAAATATATCTTCCTACCTAGCAATTTCATTTCTAATTGTTTGTCCTCCTGATGAAGCACAATATGACAATATAGGATATTAATTACAGTATTGTCTATAGTAGCAAAGTATTGAAAACAACTAAATTCCCATCAATAGGGAACTGCTGGGGTCGAATGGTGGTGCAGTAGTAAAACTTGGCACCCTCTCTGTCTCTTTCTATCCCTCACTCACAAAAGAAAAAACAAAGTAAGTAATCTTAATAAAAAAATAGGGGGAGGGCCGGCAGGTGGAGTGGTGGTTAAGGCACTGGATTCCCATATGGCCGACTACAGTTCGAGTCCCAGACCTGGTGACTTTCTTTCTCACTTTCCCTCTCTCTGTTTCTCTCTGGTAAAATTCAAAAGTAATAATTCATTTAATTTTTAAAATTCTATAAAAACAAATAAAAATTAAAAATAGGGAACTGATTAAATAAACTCTGATATGTCCATATAACAGTGTATTATGCAACATGAAAAATGAGAAAGATTCAGGTGAACTGATATCAAGACCCTCTTAGGGGTACTGCCTCTATCTCTCTCCGTGTGTATCTCTCTCTTGCTTGTGGAAAATAAATAATTTTTTCTAAAAAACACTGAGTTAAGAAACTAAATTTTACAAAATCAGAATTAATAGACAAGGAACAAAGGCAGTGAACCCACTTTACAATTAGGGAAGTTTTCACACTCACCAATTTTCAATTTCCTACAGAGGACTGAATTCGCTTCACGGTTTGGCAATCCTCAAAGTAAGATACTCTCTGTTGGCTTTTGTTAACTTTTCTACAAACCTTGAACAACAACAAAAAAAGCCTCAACTTGGGCCGGTTATGGGAGACAGAAGAATTCAGTAATGGCCTTCTAAATAAGGCTCATTTCTTATGGCCCAAGGGTAAGCTGTGCTGAAAATCAGGCCCCAGATCTGATTGTAAAAGGAGCTGAACTGCAAGGATTCTTCAGGGGTGCGGTAGCAACAGCTAGGGCTCAAGTTAAGGGACCTGGGCCTCCCTATCTCCAGCTACTAACTGCAAAATATCTCTAGAAGGAGCTTAGGATTCTCGTGGGTCCCCACAGGAAACCAGGGCCAGGGGAGTTTGCTTCGAAGCTGTAGTTGCACCGCACCAACTTCAGTTCTACAAAGGCCTAGGAGGGGCCCACAGGAGCTCAGTTTTGATAAGCCTTCTCTTAGAATGATCTTGATGGTAGTGCCTTGGGTGAGGTCCTTCCTCTTTCTGGCTTATCTAGCTGGCAGTGTGACCTAGAGTCCCGTGTGGAGATCCTGGCTGCTCACCACGTCCTAGGGGTGTGACCTCAGGAGATACTGACCATATCCGAGTTCACCTGAAGCTGTTGCAGATAGCTCCCGGTGGGCGGACAACTTCCCCTCAACTGTCTGCAGCTGGTTCTCGGGCACCACAGGAAGCGTTCCGCCTTCGGAGGGCCAGCCTGGCCCTGGCCCTGGAGCCAGCCCTCAGTCAGCAACGGGCAGTGTCATAGGTAAGAACCCCAGAGACCACTGCAGGGCATGTTCCGTGTCCCCGCGTAAGCGCCAGCCGTCCGCAGTAGCCCTTGACCACCCACACCTTTTTTGGCTTTTTCCTTTGCTTTCTCGCATTCTCCACTCTTTTTTTTTTTTTTTGGAGAGGTTTATTGCTATAGGGTGCGTGCGCTCGCCAGAAAGAGAGAGACATAGAGACAGAAAGCGAGAAATCACCCCCCAGGGAGGATGGTCACGCCGCAATCCCTTCTCCTCCATTCTCCTCTCAGGATCTTGGGCACGCATGCACACGCGCCCGGCATGAGTTTAAGCCACCGGGTCCGAGACTCGAACCACGGTCGACTACGTGGGAGTCCAGCGACATAGCCATTACGCTAAGTGCTGGTCCCAGCATTCTCCACTCTTTTATCTGTGCTTCCCAAGGCTGTCTCCCCAGTGAACCTACCTGTGTACAAGTCCTTTCTCGGACCGCTTCTGACAAAAAAAAGACAGTTGGTACCAGAAATGATGGAAGGCAGGACGGGCTTCTGAGCAATGGATCTCTCACCATGAGGCGACAACGGGGCCCAAGTGCTGACGAGGAGGAGTTGGCGAGAGGCTGCCGGCTGTCCAGGCAGCTGTGTGCCGAGGTCGGGCTAAGGCACAAGCAGGATTCCAGAGGTCCCAATGACCTACGTGAGAGGTTCAACACTTGAACGATAGGGAGCAGTGGTAGAAATAAGGATCGGGAAGGTGGTGGCCTCTGTTAACTTATCTACGAGCCTTGAACAAACAAA